GGTGTGGGTGTGGGTGTGGGTGGGGGTGTGGGTGTGGATGTGGGTGTGGATGTGGATGTGGGTGTGGATGGGGATGTGGATGTGGGTGTGGGTATGGGTGTGGGTGTGGGTGTGATTAAAGAGAAACGCCACAACCCACACCCACATCCACACCTCACAACATCACTTTATTTTATTTCACGTAGTTTTTGCTAAACAAATAAAATTGATAAGAAAAATATCGATTAAATTTCACTTACTTGAAGTGTTTCAGATACTGATAATATCTTTTTAATGACTGGCCAATAGTTTTTCTGTTCGTTTTCACCATTGAATTCAGAGAGTTCGATGATATTATTTGGATGATCATTGCGTGTAAATGTCTTCGTATAATGATTTTCATAGGAGATCTCAAGTGATTTTAATCGATGCAAAAATAACAATAGTTTGGGATCGATATTATCAAATTTTTCTTTGATTTGTTCTTGAATATGTTCATCTGCTTTTAAATTTAAACGTATACAGGTATTCCATTGTTCATAATCATCATTCTGTATTATAGGTTCGTATTCATTTAACCAAATTTGACAAACATAACCAACACGATCACCATCGGTCGCATCGAAACAAATATGATAATTATTCGAATGAATTTCTGATCTATCAGATACCTAAAAAAAGGATTTTTTTCTCTTTTAATTGATAAGATTTGTTAATACATACAACAAATACTGATTTAAAACCTATTCCTTTGTGACCACACTAACCTTCCTTATGTTTACCTATAATAAAATGCAAAGATTAAATAAATAATCCATATATATTTTTATTCGTACCTTTTGTTGATTTTCCTACAGCACAAATAGCTTTAATGTGCTTCTTCTGAAAGTCATTTTCATTATTATAAATCGTTATTTGTCTCTGATTAATAATAAATTTTAATTTCGGCACGAAATTCTCATTTAAATCCGAATAATCATTATCATCAGCATTTTGAATGAGTTCTAATATGAAATGAACTTGCTCGGAATAGAGATCATCTGCTAATTTTTTTAAACATTCTCCAAGTAAATCTTGTAAATTATCGATCACATCGTAGTTTTTATCGCTCGAATCGCTATTGTTACCAAGAGTTTTTCGTATTTGTTGAATATGTTCAAAAGGTTCAATGTTATTATTACTATTATCAACGTTAGCGTCCACCACAGGACGAGCTGGTGCAACAGTCTTTACTTGTTTTGGAGTTTTCTCCACTGTTTCTGTTGTTTCTAGTAAATAAAAGATTGCATAGGTGATGAACTGGAACAATTCTCTTACTTTGTTCTACATAATTATTCACAGTAGTCATAGCTTCATTTAATACTCCATAAGTCGGATAATTAGATAAATATGTGACTTCATTATTCAAATCTTGTGTCCATTCATGAATGCCTAACATTAAACCTAATTCTTCCAAATGTAACTTTAGTAATAGATTGTGTTTTGCATATTGCCAAATAGTTACTTCACAATTCGGAAACAAAACCTCGGCAGGATCTAAGATCAGAGTTTGTACAAGTGCACTTGAAAATGGAAATGTTATCAGGCTTAAAAAATTGACAATTTGTCCAATAGCATCATGTGATGAATTCGATTGTTTTAATTTCGTAAACGAAATTGTCATTATTGTTCTTAAACGTACAATTGGCAACCGTGTACATCCACGCTCTTTGATGGCTAATGATAAAAGATGCGCTACGGCTTCTTTTAAATGCATATTCATTAAATCCTTTTCGAATTTTTCCATATTTGAAATGCTTGACAATCGAATGAATTGTGTATGTCTACTCGATACTTCTAGCCATAGAATATTAGGCAATTTGGTTTTATTTCGTTGCAGAAATTCTTTTATATATCCTTTTTCTCTCATATATAAACAATTCCAATGGGACCACGATGCAATGTCAACAACCATTGGACAACTAGTTAAATATTCACATAAATGATCATCATCACGAATAAATGGACGATGAATAGTAGTGCCTAATTTATTCAAATATTCATCACCTAGTAGGACTTCTTCATACCTTAAAATAGAAAGAAATAGTTGATTTCTCTGATTTATTTACACATACTGTATTGTTACGATTGCAGTTTGATTTTACTTTTGTTGTTGAGCTCGTTCACATAATTGATCAATATCATGAAATCCAACTTGTTTCAAAATTTGCAAATTAAAATGATATTTAACTGTTTTTTCTATGATTTTCTTATCGTGAACACCGTTGTTGAGTAAATGGTGAACAAACGTAAATAGTTCTGCTCGTTTAATACCGCCACATGAATCGGCGTTGAATAAATAAAATTCTAAATTGTTGTCTATGACTTTTTGATGATCGTATAAAAATTTGATAAAATCTCCATGTCCCAATACTGTGAAGTCTGATTTACCATCTATTTCATACTGTCGACATATTTCCTGTTGAATTTTAATCAACGTCGACAAGTGAAATAGGCCATCGGATGTTTTAATTAATTTATGTAAAGCTGTACATAGTTTATTGATCGGTACTTTTGGTTATGGTTGAGGTAATGCTATATTTTTATCAACAGTAGTTCGAGTTTGTGCATTAGATTCCTCATCAGTAATGCTTGAAGTATTCCTGCTTGGCTCTTGTACTGTTCCCAAAAAGACTGCCAAGTTTAATAAGTATTTGTGTGAATCACTGCTTTTTAACTCCTTCAACAGATTTAATAGGTATTCCTGTTCATCATTGTTATCGTCAAATTCACTAACTTCTTCAACTCTTTCGAGTAAACGATGAAATACATCACAACAGGTGACATTTTAACATAAACTTGACGGCTATCATCAGAGAAACCATTTTCGAACTCATGTTTGATTTTGTCAAGTTGTTTTTGACAAAACTCAATTTCAATTTCTTGAATTTTTTTCGACTCCTTTACGTTCAGTACATGTGAACTTTTTTTCATAGCACGGCATTTCTAAAACATGTAATTAATTATCAAGCTTTTATCTGATTAAAAGGAAGAAAGAAAATCATTAAAAATATTCTTTCTCTCTAATAATGTAATGACAAAGTTCAATCGTAAGTTTTCTTACTTGAAGTAGGTAAGGGAATGATGTAAAGACAACTCCAAGATCTGTCCATTGGTCTTCATTGAATTTCTCCGCGGCATATTCTTTGAAGTCATCAAAGTCGACCTGTTCATTGTATTTTAAATTACGTGTATAATCATAAAATAATCCAATAATTTCAGTACTTTCAGTAGTTCTTGGTGATTTATCAGACAGGCTAAATAACTTTCTTACTGCTGGATGTTCTTGTAAGGGACCTAGTTTTAATTCATTAAACGAAGTTTTCTGAAAATTATCTAATATTTCTTGCTCCAATTCATATAGGGTGAGAAGAACCCGTTTTTGTTTGTAGACTTCTATGAACAAGTCTAATCCATTATGTCTCTTAACAAGATGTGATAGTGGTTTTAAATCTTCATAAGGATTCTTCACATCATTGATGTTTAAATCAGACCAGCTTCCAACTTTGTAAACTTTAAATAATGTGTTGATTACTTTTTCAATGCTGACATGTTCATTTTTACTGATGTAATGCGCAATTAAGTCCGCTATAGTCTTTTCCACGCTTTCTTTAGGTTCAGTAACAGAAGTAGCAGAGAATGGTGGTGATCCCGATGCAATTGGACGAGCTACTTGATGAGGCAAAAATCTGGGTATTGGGGCAGAAGGAATAGGAGGTCTCTGTACATAGGAATGCATCGGTGTATGCATTGGCCCATATGGTCCATATACTTGTGGTATCATCACATTCATAGTTGGTAAAGGAAAATTCTGCAAAGTGAAGAAAAAGTGGGTCTTTTAAATAGTATCCGTGATCGCCCGATTTTCATTCCTGTCCTGAATTCCCACTATTGTTACTATGATCTATGGACGAAAACCTGTGATGGCCACCGCTTCTACCACCACCATGACCTCGATTGACGTAGGCATTATTACTTTGATTTCTATGTTGCCCTTGAGGCGTTCGTCTGTAATTGGACATCGTACAAGCCTTCAAAAATCTTACCGATAATTGTGCTACAAACGATTAGTTAGTTATTATCTGAAAAGAAATTCGTGTCATACATAAAACTGTTCACAGCATGAGATAGAAGTAAAAATAGAAAAGACTGTAATGTTTCTTCGAAAAAAAAATACCAGCAACCATTTATGAAGGTGTTGATGATTCGATATTCCAAAATACCCAGTGTCGCAGATTTTAGGAGACGCCATAATCTCGCACCCCGATGCGGGAAAAACAGAAAAATATTTTTCTCTCTATCAACAAGTCTACCTTATGACGAGTATGTGTTGTTATCGCAGACAAACTGCGACATCAAAAATTTATTTCGAAAACTCAACCGACAATTTTCTTCCTTTCTCTTTTTTCTTCTCGATTCTCACTGACATGAATTTCGTTCCCATTCTGTCAAACTAAAGAAAAATTTCGCCTTTTTTGTACATGTTACCTGTAGCCATACGCAACCTTCGATTAAATTTCTCTTGTTCTGTAAAATAAAATCCCCGAAAATTTCTTGCTTCAGGACTTTTTTGCAGTTTAACATTTTACCCAGTCAGCTATTGATTTTTTTTATCATGAATACACAATGAATGTGAAAGATTCACGCTAGTACTTGATTGCTAAAACTTAAATGGGTGTAGGTGTGGGTGTGGGTGTGAAGGTAGTTGTAGATGGAGAGATACAATACACCCACACCCACACACCCACACATCCACACATCCACACACCCACACATCCACACACCCACACACCCACACATCCACACACCCACACACCCACACATCCACACACCCACACACCCACACACCCACACACCCACACATCCACACACCCACACACCCACACACCCCAGATACCAACACCCACATCCACACCCACACCCACACCCACACCCACACCCTTCTCTTGTTCTGTAAAATTAAATTCCCGAAAATTTCTTGCTTCAGGACTTTTTTGCAGTTTAACATTTTACCCAGTCAGCTATTGATTTTTTTATCATGAATACACAATGAATGTGAAGGATTCACGCTAGTAGTTGATTGCTAAAACTTAAATGGGTGTAGGTGTGGGTGTGAAGGTAGTTGTAGATGGAGAGATACAATACACCCACACCCACACACCCCAGATACCAACACCAACACCCACACCCACACATCCCAGATACCAACACCCACACCCACACCCACGCCCAGATCTATGCGGTTTCAAAATGTGGGTGTGGGGTTTGGGTATAGGTGGGTGTGGGTGTGAATGTGAGTGTGAGTGTGGGTGTGGAGTGTGTGGATGTGGGTGGGTGTGGGTTCATCCTCTCGTATCTAAGACCCACATCCACACTAACACCCAAGGAGAAAATAGCGAGACTTCAGTTTTTTGAAGTACAGTGAAATACGAGTGAAGTACGACTGGAGTACAGCTGAAGTACAGTGAAGTACCCACTCTTGAAGTCTCGTTTTGTCCCCCTTGCTCACACCCAAGGGGGAAAAGCGCTACTTCAGTACTTCACGTACTTCACTCGTACTTCAAAATTGTGCTTGAAGTACAGTGAAATTCGAATGAAGTAAAAGTGAAGTACAAGTGAAATGGAGTGAAGCAACGTGCAGTATGAGTGAAGTACAAATAGAAATACAAGTGAAGTACAGTGAAGTCTCGCTTTTCCCGCCTTGTCACACCCCACACTTGCACCCACCCCAAGGGGGAAAAAGCGAGACTTCAAGAGTGCGTGCTTCACTCGTACTTCAGTCGTGCTTCAAAAAACTGAAGTCTCGCTTTTTTCCCCTTGACCCACCCATACCCTTCTGATTTGTCTGAGATCTCGTTCATTGTAGTTTTTGTCAGTTCTATCTACTGCTAGTTTAATATACGAATGAAGCAAACATGTTTGAAGTACCGTAATAAACACGCGCAAATCAGTTATGATTTGGCTCAGGACTATTGCGTATTTTTACGTGACTTGTCCTCAACGAATTAAATGGTTGATAAGATTTTCTTTTTATTTATTTATTCCGAGATTATTATTTAATTCAAATTTATACTGGAGTTATTTAAACACATAAAAACACACGAATGTTTGTTTAGTCGAAATTTTATTGTTAATAATCAAAGAAAAAGAAAAAATTGATTCTCACGATGCGATAAAAACAGAAACAAAAACATACAAATATCATCAGTATCGAAAGATTGTTTTTCACTTCTACTATTTTATAAAAATGTATTGACACCAAATAAACATTCTTATCATTAAAGTGTAGGTGTGTGTTACTCTATAGCTATAAAATAAAATTCGAATAAAGTATAATTATTATTTTAAAAAATGCTGTCTTATGAATGGTTTGTGAAGTTAATAAATGAATTAATTGAAATTTTTTTAACAATAAAACAAATGATATGTAGTCGTTTAATGATGATTTTATATTGTCTTTGGATTGTAATTACATTTCAAGAAGACAACTGGATTAAAAATAAAAAGAAAATAGCTCAACAAGATCGATTTAATATCAATAATCAAATGCCAAATGAAGTTATTCAAGGAACTGCTTTAACCGTATGTCTTTTATTTCATTTTTTTTCTAAATCTTTTTCATCGATCTTTCATCTCCATTTAATATTTATTACTGAGAAAGAATTTTAATCTATAAAAATTTTAAAAAATTAAATTATTTCTCTCGAAATAATCTTATTTTTGATATTGATCATATTTCGCTAAATTTCAATATATTTTGTCTTTTTGATTAAATAATTCGATCATTTTAATAAGAAATAAAGTAAATAGAAAAATGGTCTAATGATGACAAGTCAGAGTTGTAACCAAACCCGCTGAAATTGTCAGACCAGTCGGTCTGTGCGAATTTTACTGATTTGAAGAATTTTTTTAGATATGCCATTTTTCTTTCATGAAAGATGTCGAGAGCAAGTTTAACTGCATTTATGACTATTATCAAACAGTGTTATTTTAGACATTATCTGTTTTGTCTTGTTCTCTCTGTGTATACTTTTTTTTATTTTCTTCATAGAGCTGTATTTGCTTTGTGATAAGCACAATCAAAACTATGTTACTTGAGATTTGTATTTACATAGTGATCAGTAATAGTTTCACGCAAAAGAGAAAAAGTAATGAAACAAAACAAGTAAGATAGTAAGTGAATTGAGGTCAGTTCATGTGAAAAAATGATTGCAAAAACTTAGATTAAAATCAATTATCCTTTTATTAAAACTCGTGCCACGTGAATAAACTATATTTATGCTTTTTGACAAGCATGACAACTCACATAACGTTGAATCTGTTTTCATTCACCATAGTTCTTTTTTATTAATGAAAAACCTAACATTTTTTAAAATACAGCTTTTAAATCCTTCGCCTCATTATTCATAATTTTTATAAATGTTAGCATCATTTTGCAACAAACGTGTAATTTTCTCAGAGAAAAATATCGAAGTTGTGAGCAACGATGTAAGAGCAGCATGAATAGTTTCATTGAAGGTGAAACAATTTTCGAAAAAGACATGTTCAAAAATAATAATGAAAAAGTAGATATAGTAGCTTCTCATATATTTAGAATAGCAATATATTTCATCGAACAAAATTAATCTGTTTATTTGACTCTGATAAAAAGAAACATCTGCTGGATTCATAATCCAATCGAAATTTCGTACCAAAACTTCATCTTTACAAAGAATAATTAGTAGAGATGTCTTTCAGGTCTACTGTTTCGAGTAAAAAAGTGGACCATCTTCAGTACAATGCGTACATGACAAGTCACTAATTCATGTATCCTATCTTGTTTAAAAGTTCAAAAACTGTAGTGTCACCATGGTTTTGTAACATTCTGCGGGATATGCTGCCCTGTCACGAGCCCTATATCTTAATATCGATTGAATTATTTACATATTATTTTATTATATTCAAATGATTTCAATTATCATACAATTCGATTTCTTTTCTTTACATAAGATAACTAAACAAATCGAACCAAAACTTGAAATATAGACATAAATCAATCAATGAAATGTTAACTTGCTAGACCTTCGAATCTCTTGTCTTTAACATAAAATGGATATCATATGAAAGATGCTGGTTTGTTAAATATTTAATTGAGTTCTCGTAAAAAATTGTTGACACACAAACATGTATCATAAAAATCAGTTTGCTCTAAAATAACAAACGTTTTATTTGTTTAATGAAAACAATTAAAAATATTATTCGGAAAAATATTTTGTTACAGCTCATTCGATTTTCAAGGCTATTTAAAAAAAAGATTATTCTCATATTAAAACTACAGTAATATTTTAGACTTGTGGACTATATTTAATAAAATCTTAAATATATTTTATCATTTATCGATAAATATTGACAGAAAATGTAAAGTTGATTAAAGTTTAATAAGATATTTATATTGATATATAAATGGAATTTTCAAACTTATCATTATTAAAATAAATTTTTTGAAAAGTTTTTAGTCTTTGAAAGATCTTATCTAAAGATTTAAATTGAAAACAAATACTTTATGCATAATAATTTCTTGCTCAATCAGTTAAAGAATTATGTCTAATAAATAAGAAAAGGTCTATTAATGATTAATTAGAACAATATATATATTAATCCGAGTAGATATATAGTCGATTTTATAAATAAAATCTTTGTGAACTTGTTTTTTATTAAATTAATAGACAAAGAAAATAACTGCTAGGTATCTCTTCATGGTCATTTACTTTATTCTCTAGAGCTGCAATAAGAAAATAATCCTATATATTCTAG